CACAAAGTGAGTTCCAGGACAACCAGGCTATGTAGAGAGACCCTGATTAAATAATAATAATAATAATAATAATAAATAAATAAATAAAATAAAGGAGGGTTGGAGATGTAGCTCAATGCAGAGCACTGGCCTAGCATAGCAAGGCTCTGGATTCAGTCCCCAAGTGCCACCAAAAAAGGTGTTTGGAAAATAAATAATTGTCCAAGTTGGCTTCACCCCCGGCCAGCTCCCTTTGTGGTTTAAAGTGGACCTGCAGGCTTGGAAACATAACTCATGGGTCAGTTTTCCATCCAAGCACCCAGCTATGGCTCCCCAGGGCCAACTCTGTAAAGAAGCACTTCTTGAATTCTGATGGTGGCATACCCTCCCGGGCTGGCCGGGCACAGCTCTGGCTTCTACACCAGAGGAACATCTGAAGTGGTTTCTGGAAAATGGAGGCACTTTTGTACCTGCTCCAAGTCCATCCATTCTCTGTGTGGAGACAGAGAGCCTGGATTCTAAAGGAAGCTCCTGGGTGGGAGCCTTGAGAAGGTCATGTGGCCTCGGGCCCTCCCTCTCCCAGTCCTCTTCCATATTCACACCTTTACCAAGATCCTCTCTCTAGGGGTGGCCTGGCCACTTGGCCTGATCCATGGAGTACTGTAGCTAGAGTTTTTCTGCCTTGCCCACAGTCAGGGCAAATCTCTGTCACTCGCCAGTCCCACAGCCGCTCAGACCCAACCAAAGTAAACATAGAGACTTATATTGCTTACAAACTGTATGGCCGTGGCAGGCTTCTTGCTAACTTTTCTTATAGCTTAAATTAACCCATTTCCATAAATCTATGCCTTGCCATGTGGCTCGTGGCTTACCGGCATCTTCACATGCTGCTTGTCATGGCAACAGCTGGCAGTGACTCCCTCTGTCTTCCTGTTCTTTCTTTTCTCCTCTCTGTTAGTCCCGCCTATACTTCCTGCCTAGCCACTGGCCAATCAGTGTTTTATTTATTGACCAATCAGAGTAATTTGACATACAGACCATCCCACAGCAGAGTACAACTGTTGTCCAGTGCCATTCTGCACATACTGTATTACTCACCTACTTTGTCCACTTCTCTAGCTAGTCTCATAGAACAGCGTGTCGGGAGATTTCTTACGGCAATTGGCTAAAAGCAACTAGATCCCAAGATGGCTGCCCAGAGGACAGCCAATAGACTTGAGACATCATTGTTATCCACTTTCCTCTAAACAACATACCCACCAGCTTCCCAACATTTTACAATAACCATGCAGTCACCAGTAGGGACCACTTAAGGAAAGGAAGTGGGCAGTGTGGATTTCCAGAGAGCCTGGTGATTCTTCCCATTTTATTTCTGCTGCCGGTAAACTGAATTTCCCAGAAAAAGAAAATCCACACCTGTATTGAACATTTTACAAGGCTGATTATGAGATGTTTAAAACGTCTGTGATCCCGGAAGATGGAATGTTATAGGTTGGGAGCCAAATTATCCTGGGCTATCTTTAGCCTCCTAAACATTTTGTGCCTACCCTGTGTCTTACCTAAATATCCTTGTGACCATTAGGTAAATCCTTCTGGAATGTGCAAACAGGCCCCCAGCTTCTACCAACCCAAAGGCCCAAGAACAGCATCAGACAGCATCTTAGCCTATAGCAAAGGTTCCCCTGCTTTACTGTGGCCACCTACCAGATGTTTCTACCAATGGATTTGAAAAGTGTCTTGACTTAGGACTTCTTTTGTTCTGTTAATATAAAAAACTCCCTGAAACCGTTGCCACGTGGGGACACGGTCTCTGGCTGGCAACCTGAATCCGCCTTCCTGAGCAGTGTTCATTTAAATTTGACTTCAGAATCAGCTCTCTCTTCCTCCCTTTGAGGTGACAGTTACGTTTTTGTGTCATTCTGCTCGTTATCTGCCAAGGCCCAGTGGCTGAGAAATCGACAAGGTGAGTTCTTGTTTCCTTGCTCTGTGGCCGCTGAACTAAGCGTTTGACTTCTTCCCTCCTTTTGGAGAACTGGCCTCCCAAAACCTGCCTGGAGTGTGTGGCATTTGCCTTCTTGGGGACACTAAGAGTTAGAATCAAGAACATACCCAGAAGAATTTATTTCTGGTTTTTAAATCAATTTTCTTTTTCTGATTATTAAAGGTAAATATGCTTATTGTAGACACTTCAGACAAGATGTAAAAGTATACAGAACAAAAGGCAAAATATGAATCAACCCTACCATCCATATTGAATCACTGTTTCCAAGGCAACATAGACTTTCCTCCCACTTTTATTTATTTATTTATTTATTTATTTATTTATTTATTTATTTATTTATTTATTTATTTTTGGTTTTTCAAGACAGGGTTTGTCTGTGTAGCTTTGCGCCTTTCCTGGATCTCACTCTGTAGACCAGACTGGCCTTGAACTCACTGCCTCTGCCTCCTGAGTGCTGGGATTAAAGGCGTGCGCCACCATCGCCCGGCCCACTTTTAATTTTAATTTTATTTTTTATGCATGTTTATGTGTGTATGTGTGTGTATGCATGTGTGTGAATGCCCATGGAGGCCAGAAGAGGGTATCAGATTCCTTGAAAGCTGGAGTTACAGGTGTCTGGGAAGCACCTGATGTGTGTGCTAGGAGAAAAACTCTGGTCTTTACAATTGGGCAGCAAGTACTCTTAACTATTGAGCTAACTTTCCAGCTCTCTCCCACTTTAAAGAAATAGAATGTGTGTGTGTGTGTGTGTGTGTGTGTGTGTGTGTGTGTGTGTGTGTGTACATCTTAGTGTATGTGCATCACTTGCATACAGGATCCCACAGAAGTCATAAGATAATGCATCCTCTGGAATTGGAGTTACAGATGATTGTGAGCTGCTAAGAGAGTACTGGGAATTGAACTGGAGTCCTCTGCAAGAGCAATTAAGGGCTCTTACCCACTGATCCATCTCTCCTGCCCAACCTCTCTCCCATATTTAGACATGTTGTATTTCCTTGAAGATATAATTCATGTCCCTCAGGGAGACTGGCTTATGAAGGTAACTCTTGGTTTGGAGTGTGGTATTAGAAACAGTGTGAAGGTATATCAGTCAGCTATTGCTGTGTAACAAGCAGCCACATGCACACTCACTGGCTTACACTCTTAAGATTTATTGATGATGCATGGGCATGTGAATTGACTAAAGACCAAATGGTTTAGGTGGATGCAAGTGTCAGGTTCTCTTGTGTCTGCTCCATTCAGCTCTTATCCTCCTGGAGCCCCGAGTCTCCCTGAAGCATGTTCTCACCATGGTCAAGCTCCTGGGTGCTAAACTGCACTTCACAATCACGTGTTAATTCTCTGCTAGAGTCAGAATTCTCTAACATCTTATTGGACAAAGGAAATCACATTGTCAACCCAAATTCTGAGGTGGAAATGCAGACTGTCTACCAGGGAGCTCTGGCCAAAGTATTGATTTACATAGCCACATCAGGATAGCAACCCAGGGCCAATAATTCAGTCTATCATATGAAGTGGGTTTAATTGTAACTCAGCACACAGGGGTTTTCATCTTGGTGCCGGCAAAGTGAAAAGCAATCCAAGAACTAACAGCATCCAGAAAGATGCATTGCCTGTAATGAGTTCACAGAGCACAGAGGTTATTTCTGAAGCAATGCTGGGGAGCTGATACATATCCACATAGAAAAGCACTTGGAGGGTGGACCACTGAGGAGCACATTCCTGTGCCCGCTCAGTCTGAGGTCATAATGTAAGGAAGAAAGATGGCAGACACATTTCAGGAAACGCTTAGCTCAAGATCATGTGATGATAAATGTGTTTATTACAAACTGAAGTGGGCACTCTCAAGAGAGAGGTGGCAACGGCAAGAGACTGTTGTGCCAACCTGGTTAAGCAGGCTCCATAATCGTTTTCTAAGCTCTGTGAAACACACAGTTTCCTGAGAGGGCATTTCCTGTCCAGGTGATTGACAGGACCATTTGGATTAACTTTAAATGGGGAGGGAACAGTTCTTTGTTTTTATCAGAAAGCCTATGAGTGGAGAGTAATCTTATGGGCTTTTATGGGCTGTTTAGAATGCTGTGTCTCCATCCAGAGCCAGAGATATGACTCAGGTTCCATTCTTTTTTAAATTACTTTTTATTTAGGTGGGGACACACGTGTGTAACATGGCACACATGTGGAGGTCAGGGGACAACATACAGGAGTCAGTTCTCTTCATCCACCGCGTGGGTCCAGGAGAAAAAACTCAGGTCGCCAGGCTTGGCAGCAAGTACCTATTCTAGTCAGCTTTCCGATGCTGTGATAAACACCATGACCAAAAGCAACCTGGGGAGGAAATGGTTAATTTGGCTGACACTTCCCTGTCATGGTCTACCACTGAAGGAAGTCAGGGTAGCCACTGAAGCAGACTAACAGGAACAGGAACACTGCTCACCGGTTTCCCCCTAGGTTCGAGGTCAGCTATCTTTCTTAAACAACCCTCGACCACCTCTCACAGTGGGTTGGGCCCTCCTACATGAATTAACGATCAAGAAAATGCCCCAAAGACAAGCCCACAGGCCAATCTGATGGAGGCAGTTCTTCATTTGAGGGTCCTTCTTCCCAGCTGTCAGCTGTGTCAAGCTGACAACTGAGATTAGCCATCACAGCGCCTTTACCTGTCCAGCCATCCTGCTGGTCCCTCAGACCCCATTCACTGCCCCACAACTTCAATTCCTGGTTTTACAAGCTGCTGTAGGGGAGGGGTCCATACTCAATGACCTTCAATTCTGCTGATACCTGACTAGCACTAGGACCCGGTATCAAATCGCTTTCCAGAGAATTTATGTAAACAGAACCACCGGGTCAGAGAGGACTTCTTAGAAGCATTTACATGGTAGCTTAATTTGTATTTTTGATGGACAAAAATTATAGGGCTGGAACATTTCGCATGTTTATAGGCCATTATTAATTATTTTTGTGATTTGCTTGACTATGAACTATCCATGCCAATTTTATTTTATTTATTTTTGTTAAGTTTGGGGGCCTGCACTGAATGAAAAATCGAAGGAGAGCGAGAGCTAGGCACCAGCATCCGCCTCTCTGTGCTTCCAGACAGCAGACACATGGTGACAAGCTGCCCCATCCTTCTCCCTTTCCATGATGGCCTGTAGTCAGTCCCTCCGTGCGTCCACATAGACCCATCCTCCCATAAGTTGCTTTGGTGAGTATTTTGTCACGAAACAAGAAAAGTAACTAACCCTGCTCACTGCAGCCCTTGGACCCAAGTCTGAACCTTGCACTTAGCCTGGCGTAGGGCTCCTTGATAGCAGTTTGTCCCCTTCTCAGACAGCCATGATGGTCTTGGCCCTTTAGCCCCCATGACGTCTCTGCCCCGGTGTCTTGGCCACTTTCCTTCCCCCAGCTTCTTCCTTCTGAAATTCACTCAAGAGGACGACCCCCTCCTTGCTTTGACGCTCAGCCTCCTCCCCTGTTCCCTTTCCTGACCGGTGTACACAGCCTTCCTTTCCCCAGCTTCACCTGCTGCAGATCTCCCCACCCACGTTCTGCCCATGGCAGCCTGCTACCCCCTGGTGACAGCCCTCCGCCATTCACCACCCACCACTGTTCACAGCTCTCCTCCAGCTGCTCTTCAGCATCCACATGCACCCACCAACAGGCCTGTGAAGCGAGCATCGTGGCTGAAGTACTCATGACAGTGAGTGTCTCCCTGGAAACCCGTGACCCCTGGTCTGAAGGAGGAGTGTCAGGTTCCATGTGTGTGTGTGTGTGGGGTGACATCTCCCCATCCAACTTTAGGATAGAAAAATCAGCACAGAGAGGGGCTTTGCTCTTCCAGGTCTCCTGAGGGCCGATGTATTCCAAGCTGTGTATGTGCCCACTCAGGGTGGGCAGCTTCTGGGGACCCATGATCGGAGTCCCTTGCTAGCTCCCAGGCTGCTGTGGCTCAGGCGCGCTCCCATGTATCTGGTGACTTGGGGGACTCCTTCACATTCCCTGTGACTCTGAGATTTCTAACAGTCAAACTGTCAGGAGCACATTGCATCAGGAGGCCACAGTTACAGCAAGAAAAGCAGTCTTGGAGCCCAGAGGTGACAGACCATGCATATAGGGAGGTCCTGCTCTGCTGCCACCACCAATTGCCACCAACTCTCTCTCAGCCTGTCCCAGGCACTTCTGACAGTCCCCCAGCGTGGGTAACACTATCTCTACCAGTAAGCTCCAGAACCTTACCTGCTCTCTCATTGCAACAGTCCCCAGAAGCTTCCTATGACTTGCCCTCCCCTTCTCACCCTCCCCTTCCCTCCTCCTCCGAGGAGCAATGGAGAGAAAAGGAGGCAGAGTGAGGGGGCTCATCATGATGGCTGGGGCCACAGTCAGACCTTTGGCACACATGGGAGCTCTCTGAGGACTGGATGCTGGGAAATGGTCCTGGAGATCACATCTTGATGTTGTGGGACTTCCCTCAAGGGTGTGCTGAACCTCTGGTCTTTGAGACTGTGTCCTGACCAGCAAGCATCCTCGGGCTCCAAAAGTAGTAACAAGCTCATTCTCAGTCTCTATTTTTTCCAATATAAATTCCAGGAAAGGAAAATAAATCTCTCACCTGCTGCTGCTTTGGCTCTGACACTCCTTCCCAGGGCCACAGCAGCAACAAGGGAGTGTCGGTGTGTGTGTGTGTGTGTGTGTGTGTGTGTGTGTGTGTGAATCTACAAAGGATATGGCATCAGCACCACCAGGCAAGTGAGTAAACAGAGGCTCAGAGAGGTCAAGTGTCTTGTCAGAAGCTATACAGCCTGCTATCGGCAGAAATAAATGACCCGGAGTCTAGATTCTTGTGTGGTCTCCCGAATGTGACTGTTGGCCTCTGCTCACTGATTCCTTCAAAAAGCCACACCCGACCGCACTCAGTCCCCACTCTGAGGGACATTCATATCTCTTGTCCCATCTCCAGCTATATCAAGCACCATGCTGGGTGCATTTGGGCACCTGGATGGATTTGTGTTGCTTGAGTGACTAAGAGAGACCCACAGGCTTGGTGGGGCCTTATGGGAGATGCTTGAGATGCCTCGGCACCACCACGCTATCTCTGACACTGGAAAGAGGACGAAACGAACACACAGCAGCCATTTAGACAGACGCACCTTACTCAGAAATTACACACAGCGCCTGGTGATAAGGCTTTCTTCACCAGGCAGGGCTTGCTCAATGCTGCCGCTGTTACTGGGCACTCAAGATGGGCCTGTCCCCTCTGCTCAGAGGGACTCAGGGTTCTAGGCTTGAGCGTGTCTCTTGAGCCTGTGCTAAAGGTGGCAGACAAAACGGGTCCTTCAGAGTGCTGCTGAGCACTGGATCATACTACGCCTAAAACCCACTCTGCGCCAGACTCTCCTGGTAGAGGAGCCAAGCACTCCACAACCTCAAATTCACTACAAAGTGACAGCAATCCACACGTCGTGGTTTCGATGCAAGAAGAGTCAAGCATCCGGAGACCGGGGGCGGAGCGGGGTGTGACTATGTTAACAGAAGGTACTAACATATCTTTCAGAGTTGATGAAATGTTCTCGAATTAAACGGTATAATTTTGACTACACTGGCAGCATTAAGGATATACTTTAGAGAGGTACATTTTTATGGTGTGTGAACTGTATCTCAAAAAGCTTAAAAAAGTAAATCTAAGCTCTGTCCTTGGCTGAAGCCAACCTGATAACATTTTTTTTTTTTTTTTTTTATTCCTGCAGTGATAGTAGCGCAGCTCCAAGCGGTGAGGAGAGGCAGCCCCGAGTGCTTGGCTGAGCCTCCCCAGGAGGGAGTCAAGGCTCCTCCAGTCACCAGTGCCCAACTCTAGTGCATTCACATGTGGACACCTGTGTGTCCTCCTGTGTGCAAGGTGATGGATGCTGTGTGCTCATCGGCAGGCAGGTGTGCATGTGTGCCTCACATTGTAGCTCCCAGCACATGGATATGTATCAAATACCAAAGCTGGATTTGATATCAAATATCCCTTCTGGAAATGGAAACTGGCCTCCAGTAGCTGTCTCTGTCACCTCTCGCTGTGACATTTCTTCTGCACCTGGCACAGTCGGATCTTCAGGCTCTGGAATGAGAGAGGTGGGGGTCATCTGAACTCAGCAAGTGCTCTATGGTATCCACCCAGCCTGGTCCTGCCCCAGAGGAGCTCTGTATCACTATGGACTGAGGGATTGGACACTCAAGGGCCCGGGAGATGCAGGACAGGGTCGGAGCTACAGCTGAGGTCCAAACACGCTGGATACAGGGCTATGCTAGGCACACCACCAGCCCAACCAAGCCCAAGGATGTGAATTAGGAAGACTCAGAGCATACAAAGCATAGCATCACTTCTCTGATGTTAATTTGCAAATGAGAAGAATAGAGCGTTCTGAGAGTCTCCCTAAAACCTGGTAACAAGTCATACTTTCATGCAATGTTCATAAGTCACCAGTCAGGAGTGGGGAGGAGCCATAAGGAACTAAACAGGCAGACTTTGGGTAAAGACAAATATAACTCTGAGTACTGTTGGAAGTGTCCACCGTGGACATAGGATGCCCTCCAAAGAAAAGTATCAGGTGGTGCAGTTCCAGATCACTATCACTAGAGGGCAGAGACTCTGCAACTATCCCACCGATGTCCTGATCTAAAACCAACCAACCTGCCAACCTTCCTTCTGGTTCCTGGTGGCAGTGTGACCAGGCAGGTTCTCCCACGTGCAGCCACCACCCCCTGGCAACAATCCTCTTTACTGTGATATGACCAGAAAGAAGAAACTGGGGAAGCAGCGTTTTTAAGCACTTCTTTTGAGGTGGTTGCTTCTTGGCATCTCCCAAGATCCCTCATTCCTAGTGTGTGTTGTCCCCATTTGACACATAAGGAAACGGAGGCCCAGGGAGGATACAGATGAGCCACATAGACAGTCAGTGACCGGACTTGGATCTAGGGAGACAGCCTCACCTAGGTGCACCTCACCCAGGTACAGAGAAAAAGGATCTTTAACTCTTTGGTCCAAGGGGAGTGGTCCAGGCTTCAGATATTATATATGGGCACAACAGTTCTGTGGCCCCTGACTAGAGACTCCAGGCTCTGGGGAATGGCCTGCTTTACCCCAGCGAAGAGCTCTGGTGCTCCTGGGCATCCTGGATGGCTCTAAAGAGCTTGTCATAGTGCTCCATCATGGTATCCACCAGGGCTGCCTGGGATTCTTGCCATTTCTGCAGCCCATGGAGACAGCGCTAAGTGAGACAGGTGGATGTCCCCCTCAGTGGCCACTGGCAAAGTGGGAATTCTGCATAGAGCCTCAGAGCTAAGTGGAGCTAGGCAGTTAGGCCAGGTCTACTCCAGGACAGTAGGGCGGAACCGATGGTTCTCTGCACTTCACCACCCACCTCCTGTGTTCTCAACAGAAGCCTGGGCAGGGGAAGGCCAGTTGGTGGCTGAGGACACACTGGGAACTGACGCTATACAAAGCAGGAAACTTAAGGAACCTGAAAGAAGGGCACAGGAATGTTGCTGTGGGATGTTCTGTATGTCAAATGTGTTGCTCTGATTGGTTAATAAATAAAACACTGATTGGCCAGTAGCCAGGCAGGAAGTATAGGCGGGACAAGCAGAGAAGAGAACTGGGGGAAGTGGAAGGCTGAGTCAGAGAGACACTGCCAGCAGACGCCATGACAAGCAAGATGTAAGGTACCAGTAAGCCACGAGCTACGTGGCGACATATAGATTAACAAAAATGGGCTTAGTATAAGAGTAAGAGCTAGACAATGGTAGGCCTGAGCTAATGGCCAAGCAGTTTAAATAATATAAGAGTCGGTGTGTTTATTTTATAAGTGGGCTCCAGGACTGGCAGGGCTTCTCGGGAGCTGGAGAGAAACTCTCCAGCTACAAAATGTCCTGTTGCAGGGAACAGATTCAGCGGGTACTGTGTCTGCTGAGACCAGTGACCTTGGCTCAGCACTCAAGGCGCAGTTCCGTATCTTCCACCGGTCCCTAAAGCTCCAGCGCAGAAGCTTGCCACCCTGAGCCTTTCATGCAGGGCAGTAACTGCAGCATCTTATCCAACCATATCTGCCTGCCAGTGCCATTCCTCTGCTGAGCCTCACCAGAGGTCACCTGTGACACCTTGTCACCTCCAGGGCAGAGCTGGGCTTTCAGAGTCCCTTCCCCACCTCAGAACCTTCACTGTAGCTTGAACACAGTGACTATGAAATCAGATGGGAGTTTGAGCCTGAGCCCATCACTGCCAGCCTGGCTGGGTGACCTTGGGCAAGGTCCTTACCCGCTCTGTGCCGCAGAGCTTGTGGGGAGATTTGAGAAAGCTGGAATATTACGTATGTGCTAGTGTTGTTTCCGTTGCTGTGATAAAACACGGGCCAAAAACCAGGTTACAGTCCATGATGTGTCAAAGCCAAGACAACAGACACGTAAAACAGTCACTGCAGATCTGTGATCAAAAGCTTGGAGAACTGAATGCAGGCATGCTTCCTTCTCTGCCTGCTCACTTGAACTCAGCTAGTTCTCTCTACTCTCCTATAGCTCAGAATCTCCTGCCTAGAGAGTGCTGCTGCCCACAGTGGACTGGGTCTTCCCACATCAGTTAAAGCAATCTAGACCCCCCCACACACACACAGATGGCTACAGGCCAACCTGACCCTAGACAATTCATCAACTGAAGGTCTCTTCCCTGGGTGATTCTGGGTTGTAACAAGTTGACAG